AGCATTTATTGCTTTTGCTTGTTTTACTAGGACATTCGCCTTGTAAATAATTAAAAACAAAATCACAAAATAAAATCAGAGTGACAACTTTGCTATACCTCGACACATCCGAAGCTAACTTCACCCAAGCGACACCTGCTAAGGCAATCCTAATTTTATGGCTTTTCAAAGTGATTAGCGAAGAATTTGAGCTAATGGCTGACCTTCAAAATAGGTCACGTCGTTATTTTTGGGCGCTAATGGCTCTTTATATAAAAAGTTTGAAACTCATTTGTATGTGTTTTTTTAAAACTTGTGTATTTTTACCTTCCTTTTATTAACTCGGGATGTAACTATGTAATATTGATGCGCCTAAAAGATGCAGCGATTTCCACTCCCAAGTTACATACCTGATGACAGTACGAATGGCATTTATAATAGGGAGGTTTTAGTTTTTTATACCCGAGCGCACTTGTGCACAATATTAATTTTGTTCACATAACGGTTGTTTGTAACAGCCAAAACGAATCGAGATAGATATAGACAAATGTATACATAAATGATCAGGATGAAAAAAGAAATCGATTAAGCCATGTCTGTCTGTCCGTCTGTCCGTGTACACGATAACTCGAGCAAAAATTGAGATATCTCAACGAAATTTGGTATGTAGGTTTCCCTTAATCCAAGGTAGGTTGGTATTGAAAATGGGCGAAATCGGACTTTAACCACGCCTACTTCCCATATAACGGTAATTTTCAGAAATACGAAAACTGCGATATTTTAGTAACTACTGGAGATTATTCACTCAAAATTGATATTTACAATAATTTTTAGACGAAAAATAAGAATATAATAAATTTTTGGAAAAGGGCGTAGCCACGCCCACTTATGGTTACATGTGTATACCTTGGTAACCGCTGCACCAATTTCTTCCAAACTTGGCACAGTTGTTGGCCTTGGTACAGCATAAAAAATCGCCGAAACTTTTTAAAATCGGACAATAACCACGCCCACGTCCCATATAACGGTAATTTAGAGAAATACAAAATCTTCGATAAATCAGTAAATATTGAAGCTAATTTATTCAAAATTGATGCTTGCAACAATTCTTTACCAAGAAATACGTTTATGGTAAAATTTTGGAAAATGGGCGTGGCACCGCCCACTTTGATCACATATAAGTATATCGGTAACCGTTCTACCAATTTGTACCAAACTCGGTGTGGTTATTGTGCTTGCCAAATATAAGCAAAACGTTGAAAATTATTGAAATCAAACTAAAAAAACGGCCGCTTCTCATATAACGGTAAATTTCAGAAATGCTTGAAACTTCAATATTTCGAAATTGAAGGACGCTAATTTACTCAAAATTGATACACCCCGGCTTACCATCTAGCGGAAGGTTTCGGAAAGGTGAAAAAACATATATTTAATACTTGCGCCGGGTATTTAATGTTCGGCTCCGCCCGAACTTAGACTTTCTTACTTGTTAAACTATAATTTTATTTTTTTATTTGAAACCGTTAGTTGTTTCCGCTTATCTCTGAATTATATTTGAAGAAAATATTAGTACATAAAACTAGGAGGTTAAATGATGAAAACTTGAAAAGACTTGGCGCCAAGGTGTAAGTTAAACAAAAATCGATAGGTTGTGTTGTGTATTAGCTATGTTTGTAAGCATTATGATTGTTGTTAATTATCATTTTCACAATTTACCAAGGTGCAAAATAACAAAACAAATTGAAAAGAAACCAATCAGCGAAAATTCGCTGAACGATGAATCATTGTCTACATATGTTTGTATATGCGTATATGAGCGAATGCCTGCAATGACTTAGAAAATAAACAAACTCACGTGCGTTAAGTAATTTGTTAGGCTGTTATTATTTACACGCAATAAGTGAATTGAATATTGATACTGAGTATGATCCTCACTGCAAAAACTGTGTGGTTATCATAAAAATACGAGCTTTCTACGTCTTTTTTCAAAGTAGTGGAGGATATGTAGGTTAGGGTGGTCCTTAAAAACCAAATGAACGATTTAACGGTCTCTAATTGGGACCTCAATTTAAATGTGATATCTATGATCGTGGTATTACCGATAGAGGGGGTGACACTGAAAAAAAATGGTTCATTTGATTTTTTAAGGACCAGCCTAATGTTGGTAAAATTTAAGCAGGTGACGATTGTATTAAGAAAAAAAGGTATTTAGATTTGTACATGCCAAGGCCTGAGCTACTTTATCTCAACTAATCGATAGCCGCCAATCTGTCTTATATTTAACGCCTTGCGAAAGACTATCTGAACTTGATGAACTATATCAATTTTGTACCGCGTTGTCAGACCAACTATCCTAACTCTATTTATTGTGTCTTAACTCCATAGCTTAATAGCTTAACATGGGACATGAATCGCCCAGGAAAATTTGTTTGCAAGAGCGTGCAATCGCTGGCATACGCCCTCGGTAACAAGAACCGCTAAGTTTGTTCTGCCCTTTTCAAGTTGGATAAGGAAGCAAAGCGAATGGGTCTGGTGGTCAACGAGGCCAAGACCAAGTATCTCCGGTCATCAAACAAACAGTCAGCGCATTTCGAGAAAGTGGAGAATTTCGTTTATTTGGGAACCAGCATTAACAGCGATAATAATGTCAGCATGGAAATCCAACGGAGAATTACCTTTGCCAACAAGTGCTACTTTGGAATGAATAGGGAATTAAGGCGGAAAGTCCTCTCTCAACGTACGAAAACCGCACTCTATTAGTCACTGATCATGCCAGTGTTGGTATATGGCGCAGAAGCATGGACAATGACAACATCCGATGAGGCGGCTCTTGGAGTATTCGAGAAAAAGATTTTGCGGAAGATTTACGGGCCTTTACGCGTTGGCAACGGCGTGTACCGCAGACGATGGTATGTGCTTTACAACGACATAGGCATAGTGCAGCGAATTAAAATACAACGGCTCCGCTGGCTTGGCTATATCATTCCGACGCTTCAGCTCTGAATGTATGCAACTCGGAAACCGCTGGTGGTAGCAGAGGTTAGAGGGAGGCCCCCACTGTTAAGAAAAGACCAAGTGGAGAAGGCACACAAGAGAAACGACTGGCGGGCTTTGTTGGATTCGGTCAAAATCGCTTAGGCGGATATAGCGGCAAATAAGAAGAAGAAGAACTACTATCGCAAGGATGAAATGAACACAACTGCGAAAACTGTTTTTAGGTTGTGTGACTGCAGCGGTACTTGTGTACATTTTTAAATTTAGTTGTAGCGCCAAAGTTCGATTGAGTATATTAATAGTTTATTGCCTCTTTTAAATCTGTCTGTTTTCAATACGCCAGTATGTCTGTGTCGCTGACAAGTTTATTATTTGAGTATGTCAAAACGAAAGCTCTACAGATTATCGAGGAAAATTCCAATTAAACGAATGTAGTGTTAACTAAAATTAGACAACTTTGAGGCTGACTAACTGACAATGAGCGCTGAAACCGGTTACTCAGTCACCGTTCATCCGCACACACACCTTTTTTGGCGTGGAAATTGCAAGTTGGCACTTTCAAGTGCAATGACAGTCGCCTGACGTTGTGGCGGCATGACGGCGGATATTCGCATGCATTTAATTAGAGGTCGACAACAGCTGATGGCGATAAACCGGTTGACAGGCAACGTCTAAAACACTGTAAGAGTTATTTGTTGTACGTTCATATATGTACATATCTATATTTTGTGCATGCAGTAGCACATGCATATGTAACCGTTTTATTTTTATTTTTTTTAATTGCGCGTAACATTTCGTAAATAAGTTAGTGCAGGTAAATGACAGTATATTGCCGTGTGCCAAGATAATTGCCGTAGTAGCAATTGATCCGTTGCCGGTTCTTTACTACTGTGCATGTTTAAGTACGTACGTGTTGTTGCTTTGTTTGTTTATGACATACTATACTTTTGACGCTTGGTGCATTAAGCTTAATATGCACATACACGTATGTGTACATTCGGAATGGCATGCTCATGGTCTTCTCGTTATTTTCTGAAAAAATATCCATACGAGTGGGTCAGTGTGGTACTTGCGTACTTTTCGGTTTTCCACGTTTGTTCTATCGATTTTTGGTGACGCGGGAAGGAAGGTTTTAAGTAGTCACGTTTTAGAAATGACATTAGTCTTGCATGCACGGGTTTACAATTGTAGGTATTTCTGTACGTGTGTATATAAAATCATATTATCTTATTAAATCATATTATTAAATATAAATGAGTTAGTCAAGTGTTTTAAAAATTTAAGCTTCAGTAATACATGAATATTGTTGCTTTGCGTTCTCATATGTAGATACATATATTGGGTTGCCTCAGCAAAAAAAGGTTTCAGTTTTTCCACGGGAATTATCAACTATATTATACCTTAAAACACCTTTTTTAAATATTTTCGGAAAATATTTATATTTGTATGAACAGGGCCGATTTGAAATAACCTCAAAAAATAGAGTTTTTCGCCTCAGATGATAGAAGAGTTTAAGGTTAAAAGGTCTGCATAAAAATTTTATCCATGCAATCATAAAGAGATTTTTGGCGGTATGTATTTTCAAATCATTCCAGCTTACGTAAATATGTATTAATATTTGTTCGAGCTACTTTCGCAATCAATTTTATTGTAATAAAGTGAAAGTTCCAAGTAGGTACGAATTACCGTTGATTTTTGGCATTTTTTTCTCGCAGTCTCTTCCATACAAAAACAAAATTTTCGAAAATACTTTATATCTCAAAAATGAATTCGATTTTGGACTAACTCCGAACCTTAATTGTTATACAAGATTTTAATGGGCTACAAAGCTGCATACACAAGAAAATTCTAAAAAAATCTGATAAAGGTTGAAAATTTGCACGAATTGTTACGAGTTTTGCACAAAGTTTAGAAATAATATGTTTATGTTTTATGTTGTGGAATAAACTATATTTTGATTAAAAATTGTCAGAAAAATATTACAATAAAAATTGTTGCATGTATTGTAAAAAATCAGCTGTGTCAATACATTTTGCCGGCATATCATGATCGAGTACCCTACCATGAACACTTCTTTCTATATGTCTGTATTTTTCATGCAAAAATAGATCTTGTGCCAAATTTTTGGTGTTTTGGAGAATCGTACTAGTCCTTGCCACATTAGAATTCAGAACTCGGATGTCTGGTGGACGTGGCACTAGACCGATTTTTACCATCTCTCAGATTTATGTCTTCCTAGGTTTATCCAAGTTACAAACCGAATTTCATTGAAATCCTATCAAATTTACCACATCCGCCCCTTGTGTAGTGGGCGTGGCTGTTCGCTAAATTTTACAATATTTTTATATTTAATCATTTCTAGGCAAAAGTACTACACGTTACAATTTTTAGCTAAATCGGGGCACATTTACTTCTTCTTGCCACATTTTGCATGAGGCTCTTCCACTGTGCGCCGTCGCTTCCGAATGTTCCTGGAAACGGACATCGCACCGTTGACGTTATGGCAGCTGTTTTAGAGGTAGGCAATAACACGTAAAAAATTAATTTTGGCTAACTTTAGAACTCTTCAGGCGCATTTAATAGAACATTTGCTGGTTCTGGCAAAGAATTGTTTTTTTTTTACTGAATGACATGTTACATCATTTTCTTTAACTTTAAGTTTTTTCAATAAAAAGAAGTAAATTAAATTATGAGAATTTTGAAAAACCGTTTCGGTCTATTATCGGAGCACTCCCAAAACTATCCGTCTAAGTTATCATTGGATGATTTAAGGACTCTTTTCACAAAATCATAGGCGAATAGGGAGTCCGCAAGGGTTCTTTGCGGATTATCTGAGGCAACTTTCTGGGACTCCAAAATCACTCATTTAAGGAGTCCTAAGGCACACTTTTCGGATCCTCTCTAGGAGCACCAGCGCACGGCACTTTTTCTTTAATATATGGCACTGTAACCGCCTAAGCGATTTTGGCCGCGCACCACACAGGGAGTCCTAATTGTGCACCCTGCGAACTCCGCTTGTTGGCTGGGAATCTTAGTATTCGTCTGAGTTTTAGTTTCTGCCTTTGCCTTTGTATAAATAAGCCTTAATACTAACCTTAAACCGCTGAATAGCACTTATCGGAAGTTCACTCTGAATATTAATTAATGCGGTAATAAAGAGGCGAAATAGATATCCTTCCGTTGCATCGTAAAATCGAAAAAGCAACAAAGTCTACTGCATTATCATCGGATTCTGCGCTAAGTTTGATGTTTCATCAGGAAGTTCGTTGCAAGATTTTATTACATAGAAGTGAAACTTAATTAAAGCTTGTAAAATTAGGAACAATGAAGTAACACACATATTTTTGTTGCAACATGTAATGCATTTTACAGCATTAGAAATACTATTTGCCATGATTTTTGAATGTATCCGTTTTGCGCTGAAGGAATTATACTCATAAAAAGTGCAAAATATACCAAAAGTACTCATAGCGCGTCAAATTTATTATCAAAATGACTTTGATATTTGTTTTAATTAAAATATTATTCAAATAAATTTAAAAGTGGGTAATACAAAATAGTCCGGTTCTGGAGATTTACCCATACTTACGTACATATTTATAGTATAGAATTTATTAAGCAACTATCAATCACGAAATTGTCATTCAAAATATTTGTTTTAACTACTCAATAGCTAGTTGACTCTTTTGGAAAAATTAGACTGCCTTTGTATGTAAATGTGGAAAAGCACACATATGAATGTATGTACATTAGACCGCATTACCTTCAAGCAAACAAAATAAAGTACACCATACACCTTCGAATCTATATTTTTGGAAGGCAATTTCGAAATTAATTTTGCTACCTGTTTACGTTTTTCGATGGCACCTACCACCTAGTCGAAATGCTTCGATTTTCAATAATTAACTAACATTTGGTTGATACGTTTGCTGATAAAAACTGAGTTATGGTGGGTAAGTTCTAGAATAGCTCAATAAACTTTGAAAAAACAAAATCTCCCCCAGACAAAAACATTGAAATATTATACTTTAAGATCCGACTATAATACTGAAGATATAACGAAAAATGACAAAATACGACGGAAAAGAAAAAACCAATCGTTACCTAAACGTGAAAAGGTGGCAAATCAATTTTTTTAAATTGTTCAGGGGAGACGAAGAATCGACGTAGTTTCGCATTATCTGTCATTCTGCGTCTAATAGTAAATTTTGCAAAAAAGTGGACTTGGCACCTTTTCCCCTTTAAGTAGCGAATTTTTTTTTCGAAATGGTCCTCCAAAAATACTTTAGATTCGAAGGAGAGGGCTAACTTTTTTCTTGATACAGTCTAATGTACATACATACATATGTGTGTTGGTGTTGGTTGATTTTTCCGACAGGGTGGTAAGATGGGTTATTTTGGAACGAATTTCCGTCATCCCTTGTCAAGTTTGGTTTGCTTGTCAAACTTGACAAGGGATGACGGAAGCTCGTTCCAAAATAAATCATACATACATATGTTTATATTTGTATATGAAAAAATATTCATCTTGCATTTAACAATAAGAAAAGAAATCAAAAGCTCACAGTGTCTTTTAATTGTCGCTTAACACCAATTCATTCCTAATGGAGTTTCCTTATCAACAGCTTGCTATCTACCACCATACAATAAAATTCAAAAAAAAAAAATCATCAAGTCATTCAGTTAGCAGTGAGTGCATTTTTAAGTTCCTTTTGTACACTTACGCTTTGGAAAGGTGCTCAACTGAACAGAATTACACTTTAATGGCCTTATTCATAAAAAATAAAGTAGCTTTAAAAAAGGTTTATAAACTGAAAAATGTATGAAAACGTCATTTTATATAGCTTTTTAAACCTACTTTATTTTTTATGAATAATGCCATAAGTGTTTATCACAACGATTACAAAAATATACAGAAAATATTGAAATTATGTATGTATGTATACTTATTTGTATGTATGTATGTATTTACTTAAGTATTTTTAGACGCTACTTGTTTTGTATTTGAAGTACATAAGTATACATGCGCCTTGACGTTCAATGAATTGAGTCTTGATGTAAACATCAAAAGTCTCGCGGAAAAAGTCTTCACGTAATCGAACGATTTTTAATTGCCTATGCATACAAAACCTGGAAAAAAGCAAACAATTCATTGTAGTTAACCAAAGTGGTATTTCGGCGGAAAAAATACAATTTTTTGAATATTCAATTTCAAAATGATGTTTGCCTAAGAAAAATTCATTATAACTTTGTACGAAATTGGTAGTATTATACAGAATAAAAGCAACAAAAGTCAGACGAGTTTTATTCAACTAAAACTGATTGAGTTTTTTGTTCACTAAAGCAAAGTGTTTTTCTTATAACTTTTGTTTTAATTATTTTTATTGTAGGTTCATATGAAAATATAGCACCTACTAGACAAAATAGCAGACAAAAATGACACTTTATAAATGCTAACTACTTTTTTATGGCCAAAAACATTGTTCCTCGGTATTCCTCCGACTTTTAGCTATACAAAAATTCAAATCTGGAAAATTTTGCGCATATTTGCGACTTTTGACGTAG